AATGGGGGTGAGAAGTTGTTCGCCAAAGGGCTACTTCCAAAAACCACCAAAGCCAAGATGAATATTTGAGGAAGTTGAGCTTCAGGCTGTTGTTGCCAAACAGCAGCGCTACGTACTTGGAGAGCACAAATAAATCCTGGTTTTTGGTCACATCTGTCGGCAAGAGCTGTACCTGCTATCAGTGGAAAAGGCTGGAAGAAAATGATGAACTGCAAAACAATTCCAGCAAAGGGTTGTACAGATAGCAGTGACCAGAAAACTTACTGGGAGCCCTCACCCTGGTCCTGGGAAGCCAGAGGTAGTTTGCCATTAAATTTCACCAAAAAATACAACACCTCCTTCTCTCGCTTAAGGCACTCTGGGAGATACTAGAATAAACTCCATAAATTATCCCCTTCACGGTCGTCTTTCCCTTTTTCTGTCTCCCTACAATCAGGTTGCAAGGGCAGGACAGCCCATACAAATCCGATCCCCAGATTTTTAATATAAGCATAGCCACCGTGAACAGTCAGCAGTCTGACAGCACCTTTTTTTTTTTAAAAAAAACCAACAATATCATGGCTAAAACCCAAACCACATTAGGTGTCCACAAGGGAATCAATAAACCAGAGCAGCAAATAGCGTCCCAAATGTGGAGCTGTGGCGAAGGGAACCAGCCCTTGCTACTGGGACTACAGGTTTGCCAAATTCATGTGACACAAGGGAAAAAAGAGAACTCCAGCGTCAAGGCCACTTACTGGGGCTGGCAATCGGCCACAGCAGTACTTAACTGTGGCACACCCACCACCTGCCCTTCGGATGGAAAAGGCTCACCCATTTCCAAGGGACGAAGTGCAGGGTGAAAGGTGCGCAGCCCGCCTTTCCCTGGCTTTGCTGTTAAAACTGACTGGCAGTGCCGGAGGTATGCGGCAAAGATGCGCTGCCACCTCTTGTTTCGATAGTGCAATAGGAAAGCACGGGCTGGCAGCAAGCAGCGGTAGCAGCAATGCCTCCAGCCGCGGATCATGTTATATATGGTTATACACACTTGAGGGGAACCAGGAGGGGCATTTATGGTGCCCTCCCAGCATCCATGCTGGCAAGAGCAGTTTGCTGGCAATTAAGCTGCTTTTAGCCCAGAGTACTTGTTTGCAAGCATCACGGGGACATTTCTGTACCGTGAGACGAGGAGGCTCCCGCCTGCTGAAGACGGCCACCCAACACGAGCGCCCTGCTGCCGCCACCGCAGGCCTTCACCGAGGGCGATCAGCGCAATCCAGAGTCCGGCAGCAGTACATCAGCGATAGTACAAACCACAGACCCAAACCGGACTTTCACACATTTGTATGTTTATCATTTCAAAGAACAATATATACATAATGTATAGTGATATCTTCAAAAACTTTATACAGAAACGGGTATCTACAAAATTAAATCAATAGACATTCTGTGTATATTCAGACAACATACATACATATATTGGAAGATCCAACATAGTTTCAGTTAGAACACAAAAATGGGAAGGAAACCCCCATCCATCTTGGAAAAGGTCTAAATACCACCCGGCTCCCTCCGCAGCGCAGCCCTCTGCCCTGCGGCAGGTTTCAGGTCGGTGTGGAGACACGGTAAATCGGATTTCTAGTGCCACCTACTGCTGGTATTTACCATCCCAGTTGTTTCCATTGCCAGCAGGAAGGGCAAAGGCTCGTTTGGACAGGTCGCGGTCTCCGAACCCTTTCCTAAATGCGGGTCTCTGCAGCATGCGGGCAACTCAGCTTTACACTCAATTCAGTAGAAGCCAGAGATCTGATTTTTTTAATTTTTTTTTTTCTTAGTTATGAACCAAAATACTGTAATGAAAAATATTTCAAGAGAATAACTTCAGTTTTAGTAGCTGGAGACACTGCAGGTGTTGCCAGCAACAAGTGAAGATGATGAGAACATATCTGAGGAACAAATCGATCCCCACTGTTTTCTGGAGACTAAAACTAAAAATATTGCACAAGTCTATGTGGCAGAAAGCCAGTGACTTCTATAGCATAAAATGGTATTCTTCAGTTCAGAGGGACTGGACAACGACAGTGCTGGACTTTACAGAGGATGGAAAAGCATAGGCAGCTTTCCTGTAGGGCCTCTAGCAACATCTGGATTTGTGATGTTTGAATTAAAAGATCACCGTGACTATTTAAGAAACAGATGTTTAAGCCTGTAGGACACAACTAGCTACAAGCTTGGAATTTTCAGCAGCAGCCTGTGGCAATTACATGTCTAATGGCCACTGAATTTCAGTGACAGGTATGTAGCTCACTGCTCCAGGCTGCCTTCAAAATTAGTTTATCAGTTTCTCTCTAAAATTCAGTTTATCTGAGGCCAGTTTTCAATCTCAGGTTCATAACATAAAAAGTTTCCAAAACAAGGGTAAGTGAAATGCGATTGCTACGCAAGCCTCGCACCCGCTCTGCACCAGCTGGTGCTCGCCTGTGTGAACCACCCCACAGAAACACCCCTTTCCACCAACGTGTTCTTACACGCACCAGCGGTACCGCACTCCTGACAATCCACCCCGTGGAAACAACATGCAGGTGGTTCGCCAGCAACCTTTTTATGGCTAGTACACCACTGCCTCTCAGGAATGAGCAACATCATTAAGCAAAGTTGCTGGCTGACCCTCTCATGTATTCATCGCATTCTGGGCTTACTGGAGAGTCAGTGATTTGCCAATGTGCGAGCTAGAATGAAATTTCCATCTCTACCAGGCACGTTTAAAATAACGCCTATAGAAGATGACTTTGGTCCATGAAAATACCGTGCATAATAAACAATGTGATATTTTGGCTGCTTGGTGTGTCTCCATAACCAAGAAAAAAAGTCTGAATAGTTACTAGTGCTACAGAGAGGAAGCAGGATTTCCAGCAGAGCAGGAGGGCAGCTAACTGGGTTTCTCAAATAACTTAAAACAGAGAAACAACCATGCCAAAAAGAAACAAGAATTTCCACAATGTCATTGCACTTATTCCATCTGCACCACACCTCTCCTTCATTCACATTGTACACCTGGAGAACATACATTAAATGATTACAATATTAACATGGTATCTAAAATACTGGAGTCATTCAGCTGAATGCCTGAAAATATCCAGAGATCTGGTACGTTAAAGCATGAAAACACAAACATACAAGAGCTAAGCTATGTTTTGACATGCAAATTGTTCCAAATACTTTCTTTCAGCAGAAGGTCTCCTTCAGTCATGAACAGCAGCCTGATCACCTCCTGAAAGCTGGTGACACATCGGTTTCAGCAGAGCCAGGTATTTTCCTCTCCACATCACTTGACAGTAAAGCAGAGGTAGTCCCATGACTGGACTGGTCCAAATTCCCTAACACTTCAGATAACCATTGCTCTCAGGAATTAGAAAAATATATGTATAAAAACCCACCCAGATTAAAGGCTCACAGTTTTTACAAAGCTCAGTCACGTTTTTAAATAATTCATTTCCACCCTCCCTTTCTAAAGAAATACTTAGTCCTTTGACACTGGCAGGACCTGCCATCCGAGACTCCTGAAGCTCTCTGAACCACAAATAGGTCTTGATCCTGCAAGGACTTTCAGAGATGCCTATCTTTAAAGTAAAAAGGAAGTCTCACTGTCTTGAATCAAACTACTCAAACCAAATCACGCCCTTTTGCTCAATTTGGTTCATTAGAAAGCTCAAGTGACTCAGTGGCACCTGAAAATGGAGTGCACAGCCCTAAGTCACCTAGACGCTTTGATAAATTATTCCCCTGTGTGCTGCCGGATTCAGGCCTCTTGTCTGGTGTATGATGCAAATGGTGCCTGCAGTAAGACAGAGTCCGTCCCCCCCAGGTATCCTTTCTGATTAAAATAGCTAAAGCATTGCTATCATAAATGTACATTGAATCTTTTTTCATGATAATAGGAAGTTCAAGTATTTAATAAAAACCTGAAGTATATATTTACACTGTAATCTGGTCAATTAATTTTGGTCAAAAGGCAATAAATACAGAAATCTATGCATTTACTGCTGGAATAGAGATATTTCAGATCCTGTAAATTGCTTATCCTGGAATTAAAATGTGAACATGACTTTGTGACTAACCAGAATCTTGTCACCTTGATACTCTTCTTAATCACCCTTTCAGCCACTGAAGGACTAAGTAACAGTTCTCACTTCGTGCCATTTGACCAACTAACTATTCACAACAGTAAAATTAAGGGGTCGCACAGATTTCTGTGCCATTTTCACAGTCCAACCAATAGATTAAAATCTCATTTAGATATATTTCCCATTTCTTACCATTACTTTCACTGGCCGGTCTAGCCACAGTTAATGAGAAAACTTAATTAGCTTCCATGTGTTTTTGAAAACAGATTTTCTGATCATTTGAAAACAGATGCAATCACGATGTCTACCTGTACACATAGGTAACAATGGGCAGTTAAAACTCCTACTTTTAAAATACTGTTAGTTATGCAGAAGGCCAGAGAACTTTATTAACAAATTGTTTGATACCAGACTTCTTTAGATCCATATGTCTAAAGACCAAGGGTTTAAAGGATTTGTTGAACTGACATCTGTTTCAATTACACATACTCAACAACTGAATTGGAAATCTTCTTAATCCCTTAGTTTTACTGTTGTTTCACTTCTTTTGAATAAAGAAACTGACCAGTTGAATGTTAATCTAAAGCAGAAAATATGCAATATCATGGCCACCACTTAAAAACCAAAATTTTGTGACAAAGCATTTTTCCATGTGTATGTCAAAAATGCTTTATCAACCTAAGTATCAGAAATAATATGCAAGAAAGGAAATAATGTCAAAAGCCCTTGAAGCTCAGTAACACTGGATATGTTCAACAGCAACTAAGACTAATTGGTTTTATTTTTTCAAGCTCCATCATTAAGAGACTGATTAATTATACAGTGCAGGAATTAAAATCTCACTGCAACTCACTCCAAACATAGTATGCACTGCAAAGCGTCTGTATGTTTTAAACATAGTGTGTTGTAAAATTCAGCAACACCTCAGGCTGGTATTGTGTAGACAGAACCACGTTGTAGATGTCTCACATGAGTAAGCCTGTATATGCAAAATACCAGATGCTTGTGCTGGCAGGCAACCAAATTTCAGGAAAAATGTAAAAAACAGTGGTCTGTAGCACCTGCCTTTTTTTGCATCTTCATGTTGGTTATTCCATACAAGTTTTAGTTACGTCTGCTTTATTCTCTGTTCCAGTTCATGCTTGTGTTTAATAAGCCGTTCTATTTCTGCTCCTAGAGTTTGAAGGTTTTCCTTTGGGGAGGGAAAAAAAGGATCGGGTAAGTTATACAGGGAAAATGAGTCGATCAGCACAAAATGCACTAATAAGTTACAATTACTGTTTATGTCAGCAGGTTGATACTTTCAAGTATCCAGAACAAGCGCAAATGATTAGACAGAGTTGGAGAAAACCAAGCTCATTTCAATAAAGGATGCAAAGCTCTCAATAAGTTTTTTTGCAGTTACTAATATTCTACAAGCTGTCTAGAAAGTATAGCATTCAAGGGGAATGATAATTACAGGAAGAGATCTCCAACTTCTGCAGAGCACTGCAGTCCAGCTGGCAGCCTGCACAACATTTTCCAGGCTGCCATCTTTCCCTTGCAGCAGACACGCTGCCCCAACAGCTCAACAGGGTACCCAGCCACTGGTACAGGGCCAGGCATGTAGAGCCCATGCCCCTGGCTCCATGTGACTGGGGAAGAGCACGGGAAGGCCCTTCCCCACTGAACGCACAGGCAGCCCAGAATTTATTTCAAGCAGCAGCCCATTAGTGCAGCATACAAGGATGGTCCCAAAACAGAGGTTCAGTGTGGATCATGTTACAGAATTCTTTAACCTAATGCTATCAGCATCAGCAATTCACAATAAGTTGACCTCTGAAAAGCCTCCTCCTTTTAACAGCATGCATCTCTGAAGGCAGTATCTCAGAACTACAAGAACGTGCTCAAGAACTGGCATAGCTACTCACTTTTAATGTAATATTTTTCAGTAATGTATCTTCTAACACAGCCTGCAGCTTCCTGTTTATTTCTAAGGAGAGTTCCAATGTGAGACCACTATCTGCAGGATGAGATGTATACAGAGATGCCATAATCCCACCCCGTCTGCTCAAATGTACTTTGTTGAAGTCAGAGGCCTCTGACGATAGTGTTCCAGCTTCTTCCCGCAAAATGTAACTCTGAATAATTCTGGGAGGAAAAAAAAAAATTACGAACATTATAGCATTACAAGGCAGTGAAAAGTCAGACATTGGAGTAACTTCAGACTCCTGACATAAGAATAATTTTATTTTCAAGCAGTACTGTATTACTGAAAAGGCAGTAAAAATCAACTCCTGCAATTTCCAGGTCAGATGAAAACCTAGGATACCCCAAGTGCTATAGGAGATGCTCGTAAGTTGAGTCACTACAATGCACAAGGTTTACATACTTAGAAGCATTTGAAAAAGTAATATTGCTACTGGAGAAAAAAGGTACTTAAAAGAAAAATGCCTCTCTACTTTTCTTTGCTGAAAGACTCCAGACAGGGAATCTTAAGCTTTCTACAGATGAAACAAAAATTACAAAGTCACTCCTCAAGAGTTTTCACAAGCTGTGATCATGTTCTATGAAATGGTACCAGATGGGCATAAATGTATAGGCTCATTAAGCAAGGGCTATACTTAACAGACAACTGTACTTTCCAGAGGAAGGCATATGCCACAATTTCTTCCCCTCCTAACTGAAGTTCCAGGCATCACCCCGTACGATTAGATTTCCATATAAGTGGAATCTTGTCTCACACGTTAAATACTGACCACCTTTGGCTCAGATACATTGTTTGTTTGATATGCGTGCCAGACTACCATCTGGAATTATGCAGATTCTCCTTCCAAAACAAACACTTACCATCAGCACCCTTTTAAGCACATGAAGAGAACAGACTCTTCTGTTAGCCAGTGGCAGCAGTCACCCTCAAATCAGCCACCTGGTGACCGTTTTGCTACCAAAAAACACTTGCACCATTCTATTCCTCCTGAAAAATCTTAGTAGTAAACAACTCAGCAATTACTGTAACTGCTAGGGAAAAATAAAAAAAAAAAAAAAAAAGCAAGACTAATCCTACCTTTGAGATCTACTGTCACTGCAGTATTTTTATTGTTTTAAACATTTTCATTTAGACAATTACTTGTCTTACATAAAATCCAGAATACTTGTCCAGTGCACCAGCTCAACACTGAAAAACTGTATGAACAGAACTCAGAACATACTTTGTTTTTTTCCTGATTTCCTCCACCAGTTGTTTAATGTGATCCTCCATAAACTCCATCTTTTCATTTTTTCGAGCATGTGCCTTCTGTAGCCTTAGTATTCTTTCAACCAAGACAGACTTGTCCACCTCTGGGAAGCTATCCACAGCTACTGAAGATCCAGTATTCTCAGGGGACCGATCCTCATTGCCACTGCGCGCGTTAAGGGACCCTGCCAATACATCCGTATTTGTAAAAACTCTTTTTGCTTTTATACCAGGTAAAACGTCTCCACTAGGGCAGTGCATGCATTCATTACATTTCAGTAGCTTAGGATATTTTCCTCTGAATGTCAGTTTCTCTTATATGTTAGTGGGTTTTCGTATAAACAATCATTATACCATTTAAATGATACATGCTGAAACAGCAGTGTAGTCCCCTAGCACAGGCATAGTTCCTTTAGCTTGCTTCAGTAATGCTCATTTCTGAATAAGTACATTCATATTCATTAATATTACTTTGTACAAGACTGAGCTGATTTTCAATATATCTGGCTTGGAGTCCACTAAAATTACGACACTATGAAAACCGTGTACAGACCAACAAAAGCCCTATGTATAAACACTCTGCAGCACTGATCACTTAGAGCTTGAAATATTTTCTTTTCTTTCTGTTTTTCTCTCTGAGTATTTACCTCATACAGTGAGATTACAGGACACCGACAGAAGTAACTAAACTTAAAACCCAAAGATAGTGAGGAAGAAAACAAATGTTGTTTTCAGTGCTAAAGATAACTGCTTTACTTCTAACCAGATAGAAAGTAATGAATTTTACACAAATACACAGATGCCTCTAAACATGCTAATTGATTTACCATTTACACAGTTGCAACTGTCAATAGTGCAATTAAACAATGCTGGAAGCCACTGATCATTTTTGTTTTGCCTCTGGCAGCATTTAAGAGGGTCCTCTATAAACTGGAGTCCTCTGAGCTCCCTCCAAACATAAAAGCAATAAAATAAAAAAAGGTAGGCATTTAAAAAGAACCAAAATATATAAACATTAAACTTTAATCTCATAATAAGAATAAGCACCTACAACTGCATTCAACCAAGTGCACTTTGGTGCTTAAAGGCTATTTTGTCAGCTTTAATGGGAGGCTGCCCACACACTGCATATGCACAAGCCACAGAAAGAGCAAGGTTCCTGGCAGCACACCATGGCAACCTCATTAAGATCGAAGGATTGTTTTGGCAGCCCTGCTATGTGCTATATTACCTGATGAACTGGAACGGCTCCCCATGCTGCTGACTTCTTTGTCATAATTACCATTTTCCATCTGATCCAATTTCCTCCGTGCTAAAAGCATAATAAAATTATGGTTACCAACAGGAGATTAAAACCCCAAAATCAGTGTTACACAACATACGAAAACTCCAATCATCTCTGACCTGCACTAATTTAACATGGCTTGACAAGTAAAAGATAATGGTAGCAACTAAAAATCTTAAGGGGGGAAAAAAAAAAACCCAAAACCAAACAGCCCCCCTCGTCTCCCTGCCCCCAATCACAGAACACCTGGACGCAGCATCCACCAAGATCCCTACGCCCTGCAGCAGTTGCCAGTTGAAGGGGGTAATGCCATACATAGGATTAACTGGGAACAATAAGACTTCAAACTTGGTTTTACTTTTAATAAGGGCTGCCATGTAAATAACTACTGAATGACAGAATGGCACCTCTGTTCCGGGATCTCGTAACTGTATCCCTGCTGGGAGCTGAGTGCAGTACTTGTGCCAGAAGCACCACTCATTCAGTGTAAGGATCAAGAGGGAAAGTGCACAGCTGTTCATATATACACAAAGACAGACATGGAACTTGTCTTGCACAATGCCAACAGGATCTCTTCTTTGAGATGCATTTCAAACAGATTTGATTATATTCAGATATATTTGTATTCACAGCATATGCATTATTGGGTATTTAATGATTTCTATTTGTTGACAAAATTAGTCAGTCTCTCCATATCCATCTCTATAAACTGAAGCACTCTGTTTAATATACTAAAAAAATAACTGTCACCAGCAATTCCTGATACAGTCAGCAACTAGGAAACTTCTAGCAACTTTTGAATATACTCCTACACAGACCGTGATCCATATATACCCACAGTGACATTTCAGTAGTCACATACATGATAACAAAGACCAAGCTCTTTTAAAATAAATCTTTCATTTTATATCTAAGCCTATTACAAAAGTTATATTTAAGACTGAAAATTGACACTAAGGCCTGTCTCCTGTTACTTGCTCACTCACTCTCATTGTCTTTAGGGACAGGGAGAGCTTGAAGGGACACACTCAAACAGCGCAGACACGCAGACAGGACCCTAGCCTCTACCAGACACTGCGAAGGGGCTTACATATGGGGCTGACTCATTGTATCTGAAAATAACACAACCTAGCTGAAGCTGTTTCGTGAGATCTTTCAGGTTTGCTGCATGCTTGCGCTTCTGGGTAGCCAATTCATCTTTCAGTTCATCCACATGGGTCTTCAGCGCTGTTAGTTCTTTCTGCTCTGAAGCTAGCTGAGCCTGTAGCGTCTCAACCTCTAGCTTTCGCTGATCCTCCTCCTTCTGCAACTTGGTGGCCTGAAATTGTAGTTTTATTTTCAGTCATATACAAAAAAAATTCCAGCCTAACCATACCATATGCTCAACAGCCCTAACTCTGCACTTTATTTTTCACCTGTGAATCATTCCCATCTTACATTTATTACTTAGGCTAAACACTACCACTGCACATGAATATGCAGCACAGTGCAATGCTGCAGTAAGACTCCTGAACTATCTCCAAAACATCTACATGATACAGTGGAGAGCCATGCAGAAGTGTACAGTGCAGTCACATTACGGTCCATGACACATTAAGTTTATTAAAAATTACATTTATCTCATAGTATAAACAGGACCTAAGAAACAGTTTACAGTAATAAATTTCACAGACAAATTGCAACCTTTTGATTGCTTCGATGACAGTTGCAAAGAACACCTCTCTACTTCCAGAAAGAGCAACACAGTAACACCCCCTCATCCCAGTGCAGCGTGCCTCAGGATTTCTTTCCCCTTAGAAATACGAGGTGTTCATATCCCGCTGCTATTATTCTATCGAATTGGCAAACTCAATGAGAAATTGCGGTCAGGTAAGTAAAGACACAAGGTGGAATTCACGTGCCACATCTTTACCAGTATCAGACATCTTACTAGTGCAAAAAACAAGCTGCACACTGTACTCACCAGATCATCTTTAGTCTGTTGAGCACATTCCAGCTGATTCTGCAGCTCTCTTTCGCTGTAAGAAAGCTTATCCAACTGGCTCTGTAAGGAATTGTTTTCAGACTGAAGCTGTGCATTCTTACTGGTCAATTTTTCAGTGAATATCAATAGCTCAGATTCTCTTTTCCGACTACCTTCAATGTCCTTCTGGAGATCAGCAATCAGCAAATTGAAACCATCTACTTCTTCCTTTAAAGAACTGATTTCTTGTTCGTCTCTGTCAAAACAATTGTATCTTATTAGAGATAAGCTGAGTTTAAAGATATGAAACCTTACTGAAATAAAAGCATTTGGGTCAAGACCAAATAAGGCAGAGGAACAAATTAATGACCCTGGGGCATCTGTTAGTCACTGGATGGTTTTAAATGCCAAGGGAGTTTGCAGATTCCGTTTCATGACATATTGCAGTCCTGAATTTGCTTCCAAGAAAGTAAAAGGCAGTAAGTTCATTTATTCTACACAGCAACAGGAAAAACAGAGGTCAAGATTCTAGGATTTCTCTTTCATAGATGATAACAGGAATTTACCCATCCAAGTTTTAGATCTCTGGTTGAGATTCCACAACTTTATCAAACATTCTAAGGAGTGCTGGAAACATGTTAAAGTCAGAGAAGTAAAAGACTATGTGAAACTTGATGTAGGGATAAGAAGCGTTGTACGGAAAGGATACTTAAAAAAATTTGATCCAAATTGAATAGGAATGAGATACAGATATTTAAGCATGTCTCAATTATTGAAAGGAAAAGATAACTGGAAAAAACACATTTATAGTTTCACACTGTGATCACAGTCATTTTTATTCATTTGACAAGATCCCAAGGGAAAAATAACTGTTATTGATTGAAGTGTAAGCTTCAGTTATCTCTAAGAGACTGCAGTTTCCCTAGAAAGGCTGATCGCACAGTGCCAATACAGCTGACCAGCACGCAGCAAATGGAAAATGCTTCATTCTCTAAACCCTGAGGAAGGCACATAATCACTGAAATATTTTTTCAATGATAAATAAGAACTGTTTAGAAGTACAGGAGGGACACATGGGTGGTTCTGCTTATCTGACATTTGTCTATCTCCATTTATGCAACACCACTAGAATCAGTGAAGTGGATAGCATTTGTATATTCTAGTCCATATGTACCATACAGAAACATGACTATGCTTAGATACTTCAGGAGTGTCCACAAACCCAGCCCTTCTCTGAGATTGTTTCCCTCACATTCTTAAATGAGCAAACTGACGCAGCAGAATGAACTTCAGTCTGTTAGAAATACAAGTGCTCCCTACTATCTGAATATAGCATCTGTCAAATATATAAAATTGTTTCTGTTAAATACTTTCATTCATCCATCACAATTTTGAAGCAATCTATCTTTCTGGCTTTTCCCCAATCTTTCAGTAAAACGAGCACTGGGCAGACACCTAGAAGACATAACTTCCTACAGAGTATGCCAGAATGCAAGCACTTCTTATTCTAATAATGAAAGATGTAAGAATTAGATTTATTGTCTCAATCCCCTTGTCTTGCAAGAGGCCACCAAGGTTGTCCCCACTACTAGCAATACTGATTTAGATTAGAAAAACACTTAAATTAGGACAGGGATTCTTCAAATTACAATACATTTTAAAGCATCAATAATTTCAATTAAAAAAACCCCTCTCCACATCCCAGATAATCTTTTAAATCATTCCTCAAAGTGCATAGCTGTACCTCTGATGTTGATCCTGCAGACGATCTACAGTTTTGACTCTGTCCAACAAATTCTGAATTTCAGTTTTCTGTCTATTAATGATTTCTTTATACTTGGATAACTCATCTTCTGTTCTTAAACGCTCATCCTCTAGACACTTTACCTAAATAAAAAAAAGAATTAGAAACTATTCTCCCAAACTTCAGAGCTAAATTATTCTGATCAAATGTCTAGATTGTTGTACAAAGCTCCCGTGTTATTTTTTGGTGATTCCAAGTAGCTTAGAACAATATCCCAAGTATTTCAGATCAAATACAGTCAGAAAAATAAACAGAAAAAAAAACGCCAAAAAAATCAAATTAAACAAGTGTGATTAACATTAGTTTTGTCCAAAGACTCAAACTTATCAGTCTAATGGACCAGGATCCAAAGACACAGTCTTTCCCCAGTTACCAAGCCAACCCCTTATTATGTCTTCCTCCCTTTTTCTAAGGTCCTATTGAGCTACAACCCTGCTCTGGATAGAGGGACTGGCACACTAATCTGTAGACTGGTCAGAAGTTATGGGTAGCATATACTCCTTATCAGAGGTCACATGTATGACTGCTACAAAACTAGCTTCACAGGTAGGAAAAGTTTACAAGTATTTTTAACTTCCCAAATTTACTAAATTTACAAGATGTTTACTAAAATGTTTCTCATGTTTCAGTCAAATGAGGTGCATACCATGAAACAAAACATTGTTGTACTATGGATCAACTGATACGCCCTAAGAAAGGCTACCCAGAGTCACAGTTACATATTCCTTCTAGTCTCATGCCAGCCAGTCTTCAATCACACTGTTTATTCCGGAAGAAGTAAAAATGCAATTAACAGATTCAATACAGTCTCATTCCAAAACCCAACACTATGCCTTCAGCCCCACTGCAATCCAACACAGCACACGTTACCTTTGTTCTCAGTGTTCGAAGCTCATCCATGCCTTCTTTAAATGTTCTCTTCAAGTCTTCCAGTTCTTTTATTTTTGCATGATGCACCTTTTTAAAAAATGAGAAGCTCCTTGAGAAATCTAAATGGACAGTGGCATCTCCTGGGATGTCAAAAAAATCTAGGCCAATGCAGGCCACCACAGCAGCTGAGAGGGCTTAAAGCAGAGCAGGTACCCTAAAGGTTTGTTTTACTTATTCAAAAAGCAAAGCCTAAAAGCTTCTTTATTCTCAGAAGAACTGAGAACAAAAGTGAGATTACACACTCTGGTTTTAGGTGTACAAATCTAAGCCACAAGAGCCCCTGGGGAAAGTTCTAGGGAACCCAAAGATGGCATATGCACATATCAGCCGTGAGCAGGTACTAAAACATTAGAGAATTTAGCTTTTGGGCTAGCTAATCTCTACACAAAACAGAGGCTGTTCCCTGTCTCTCCTTGCCATACAGCTTGGCAAATTACTGGTCAGAGAAAGGCCTGCCTATCATCTGAATTTGTGCTCTACCTTATAGCAACATTCATCTTTATAAACAAAAGAGGACTTATTTCATCCTCATTATATTATCCTTTTCCCATAACTTTGATTTTAAAAAGTGTATCCAAGGTAACAGCTAAAAACATTCTCCAAAAACAGGGCTGGACGCAGACACCTGGGCTGTAGTACTAGGCCAAAAAGAAACATGTTTGGCAAAAATTGTAAGCAGTTTAAAATTATTCTCAAAATTAAAAACTCATGGCATTCTTAACTGTTGCCAACTGTGTTGTCTCCACACACCACATATTTACCTCCAGGTGATCAGACTTCTCCTGAATTTGTTTCTCTAGTTCTCCTTTAGTTACTCGGAGTTTTGCATCCAATTCATTTGATTTAATTTCTTCTGACTCCTAAAAGGATTGAAGACATTTAAGTACAGTTTGAGAGTTTTATGTTCCCTTTTCTGGTTTTATGAGCACACAGACAGCTTTCCACATCACTGAGTCTCTTTTCTGTAGGTACATATCTAATAATTCCAAACATGCCAAGAAAGACCCCCATACTGCATGCCAATCAAGACAAATATTTTCCCTTTTATTAAACAACTTTCCAAGTAAAGAATACAGTGACTAGTCATCTCGGCTCTGTAGCTCGCACAAGATAATTCTTCCCTGCTACAGCTTAAGATAGAAAGGGAGGAAAAAGAAGACTCAGATGCTAAACACTAATTACACCTCCTGAGAAAATGTGCCTACTTGATAGGTTTTTATCATTTCTTGACAGTTTTTCCTTATCTGGTCTGCTTCTTCTTTTGCTTCAGTTAATTTTGTTGTTGCATCTTTGAGGCGTTCTTTCGTTTCCTACAAAAACAGTAATAAATAATGAGTTAAACCTATTTATCTAACTTAATCTGGGAAAAGCATTTCTCATAATAAAAGTTTCCTATTTCAGCCTGGAAAGAATTAACAACAACAACAACAACAATGTGCAACATTATTTTTCCTCTTGCTTCCATTCAACTATTACTTTATGCAATTTTGTTTGTTCCAACACTGAAGCACAACTCCTGGTTATGTGCCATGCACATTTTCAGATGACAGATTTAACTCTATCACATAAAAACTAAACTGACAGTTAATTCATACAAAAAAACAAATTGAGAGTTGATCACCAGATTAAACACCATTCCCCCCATACATTCTCCTCTCACATCCTTTCAACATTTCCATTTCTGTATCAGTATCTTTAAGAGCACTACTCTGACTTTTGCTTCAAGGTATTCAAATTAAACAGAAAACACTTCAGAAACAGATTTTAGTACTATATAAAAAGTAAATGGTATAGCAACTACATTCCTCTGACTGTATTTTCATGTCATGGTACCAGTACCACTTCACTAACCTTGTGTGAATCCATTTCTGTTTTCAATTTGTTCTGAGCCCATTTTACTTTGATAACATGAGAATTGATTTCTTCTTTCAATTTCTCTATTTCTCTGTTAAGTCGAGTGGCTTCACCATCCTAAGAAGAAATCATAGATTTTATTTTACAGATTTAAATCATCCAGTGCTTCTACAACAAGACTCAAGTGTCAAGTCCTGCTCAAGTGTCAAATGCAGGTGTTTTTTTTTTTTTCCTTAGTGTCTGGATTTTGCAAAAGCATGCACAGACTTGAGTGCTCAATAATGCTTTAGCCCATAATCCAACAAAACACCCATCAGCATTCTGGTTTGAATAGCAAGGTAAGGCTGCATTACTGTTAATATACATTAATGCTACATATCTGTTGTAAGGCAAAGCACAGTCTAGAGTTCTGATCTAAAATAACTATCCCCTGGTAAGCTGCACAGTCCTCTCTGTTCTTTTTTGGCAAAAGGATGAGGAAACACAGGTTCAAAGCAGTAAGGTCATATATTATACAAGGCTACACACAAAAACTGCGAGACCAGTGGAATGGTATTACCAACCATACAGGTGCAGACTAGCGTGAGCACTGACAGCAAAATATATGCAAGTCAAATCACAAACCTGTCAGTCAGTGCCAAGAAAGGATGTTAACAGAAGCGCATTGCTGGCGTAACCTTCTATACCGCTATGTACAAACCACTGCATTAAGCCAAATTTCCAGACTGTCTTTCTGAAGTAATAGGTTCATCTTACCAAAAAAGTTTAAAGCAGCACCATATGAGGGCAGCACAATTCCTGTAAGGCTCTAGTGTAATCCTCAAGAGTTATGAAGATAGACAGTATGTTAAGTTTTGTTTAGGAAACCTGAAGTCATGCTCCCACTTCCTGTTCATGTGAAAGAGGACACCGAGGTGATTTTTTTGTTTCAAAAGTATATTTTTTAGGACTTTTAAGATGTATTTTTCTGATTGTTTTGTGCACTGTACAATTGCTCAGAAGAGGCCCAAATCAAAGTTTGAAACCCATCAATTTTTGGACCTTTTACGTGAAAGAGAACTGTGGAGCACAGCTGTGAAGCACAAATTAAGACGAACTGGATAATTTTAAGAGGCTGGTGGGAATCTCTTACTGTCTTCTAAAAAATGGCAAATTTTTGGAATTGCGCCTGAAAAATCCTAGTTCTTTATTACCAATTTTTAGTAGTACAAAAGAGAAAATACAAAGTGAAAACACAGAAAAAAGGCAAAAAAGGCTGCAATAATTTAATGCCATTATAGCCTTTTAAAAAAGAATCCAAACAAGCTAGAAATTCCCTCAAAATCCAGGCGTCTGCAACAAGCAGTCTTTCTTTTCAATTTTGTCAAAAACCCCTCACCTTTCACAAATATTCAGGGAAATATTAAAAGGAACTTCAAACAGATGACAATGAGAACTCAGGAACTTCTTTCCCTTCCCTTTGAGGAAAGGGGTTTTCACAGCTATACAGCAAAACCAAATGAAAACAGGTTTCTTTCACCAAGCACAATAGCAAACAAGCGATAAGGTTGTTCTGATAGTATTTTTAATCATTCACTCAAGTCACACAGCAATAGACCACCTTAGTTTCATAGAGCTGGTGCAATCTTCCTTTTTCCTGAGAAAGTTGTTTGATTTTGTTAGTATGCTTTTCAATTTCTTTGTTTGCATCTCTCACTCTTCTCTCAAGTATCTCCTTTTCCTTTCGGAGGTCAAGTGACTCCTTCTCCCCTCGGACGTATTTCATCACCATTGTTTCCTTTTCATGGCGTGCTTCTTCACATTTCTTGTTTGCCTTGAAAAATATCAAAACAGAATGAATCAACCTTGTATTTCATAATTAGCTTTTATAAGACACTACTGGATATTTTCAGTATTGCAGTGTAGTAGCATAACAAAGTAGGACTCAAAAGCTCCAGTTCTGCTAAGACTAACGTTAGATCCCTCTTAAGTACTGGAATTACTCATACTTCTAACAGTAAATATACATCTAAGCAGCTGCTTAGTGTATGTTTAGCTTCACAGCTAAACATCTCAAATGAGTTATAAATACATTAGTAATGTGGAATATAATTTGTTGTTTCAGAAGGAAAGAAGTGTAATTGGTAAGTTTTAGTAATAAAATAATTTTGCAAATACCCAGTACCAGTCCTCTGTCTTCCTTCATCCACATGTCAACTGCACAATCATTATCCAGTGACTTATTTTTCAAATGGCTTATTTTTAGTGGCTTATTTTTTTTTTTTACAGATCCTCCCCACTGCAGCACTAACAAATTCTACTTCAAATAAAAAAAAGAATCAGACACTGAGCTTTAGAATTCGTACAAAAGAGAAAATACTTGGCAAAATAAGAAGGAAAAATCATCTCAGCTCTCAGTAATACATGAGACAAAATAAGAGCTTTGTGTTGGAGTTGAGAAAAATATTAATCTTGTGATAGCCTGTCTGAAAAAAGCCACTGCCAGCTTTTACCTCCTTTTGAACCAAGATCAGCTTACAGGTAAGGAAAATGAGATTTCTTTGAAGGCTGAATTCCATACATATAAACATACACATTCAAGAGTTATCAGGCACTCTAGAATATTAACAGCTATTTAGAAATTCACTGATGCCAGTTATACAACCGCATGCTAGTAGTGCCAGTTTTGGAAAATTTTGCCTTACCTAGTGATCTAACAACCTAGGCTGCATGTTTTCTACAAGAATCAAGTTTGTTCATAAGATGTTCAATAATTAAAGGTTTTCCGTATTACCTGTTCCATTCGAAAGGCCATCTCTTTATGCAACTGCTGAATAGCATTTTTGGCTGCTGCATCTTGAGTTAAAAGTTTGTCTTTACTAGCTTTCACTTCTTTATTAAGCTCTTCCATTCTTGCTTCCAGCTAAAAGACAACATTATGATATAATTAAAGGGAAAAATAAGACTTTGATTGTGTTTTGTACAGGCAGGAATATTTCACACAAAATTAGGTGCTTCAACAGATATTTACCTGTATTTTGCACTTGTCAAGCTGCAACTACCCATATCAACATCTAGCTTTGCATTACAGTACAAGCATGAAAGATGTCAATTCTCATCTTCAGCAAGACTGAAGATGCATCAAATCAAGTAAAACACGAGGCAGAGCAATTTGCTACACAAAAAATTAGACTGACAGCAAATGGTGAGATGCCAGAGCAGAGCTGGCTGCTCTCTGAAGTTGTTTCACCTTCCACCCTTTTGTTGCTATCCCTGTGCCATATCCTCCACCATGCCAGCAAAGCAGTCATGCATCCATACTGAACTGGACTGGGAATGAATTCATTGAGAAATAACTCAGTGAATAAAGAGGCGTTTAGTCATTGTGCTGGCACTTTTTTTTAGCTGCCTAGTGAACCAAGTCAGAGACCTGATCCAGCTGAAGAATAATTACCAACGTTCAACTGGAACACTTCCCAGAGCGTGTTCACTGCACAGGCATGCAAGTTCAGCAGAAGCAGCAGCAGCACTAGCGCAAGAGCAAGTGGTGGCTACATAAGCTGTAATGCTGCCCAATGGTTGTTCAAATTGTGCCTTAATGACTACCCTCTTCTTCCAGGGAAAAGACAATGCACCAAGGTTAGTTTTGTTTGGTTTAGTTTTGGAGGGGGTGGGTAGAATGTAAAAAAGTACAAGATCTCAGGGCCAGGATCTTACATTTTTGTGCAATTCCACATGACTACATAAAAGGCAAGAACAACCTAACATGCTTCTGCTACCACACAATTAATTGATCACACCCTCTTCAGCTTTGCAAATGAATCATTGCCCGTACAAAATAAAAGTTTTACACATACAAGCACGCACGTACAGTTTGCTTGCAGTTGTGAGTGCAGCCAGGCTTTCATTGACTTGAAAGCTACCAGAAAACACTAATTTAGAAATTGTAACATTAAAACGCTCACATCACAAACAAAAAACCTGAAGTGTTTCACTGCAATGTATCTTACAACTCCAGGTGCTATCCAACTACAATATAAAAGTATTACACTCCAAACCCGTGTTTTCTGAAATCACCTGCAAGCATGTACAATCACAGACTCTTCTTATCTGAGCAGAAAGTGAAAGAAACTCCCTCACAAATATTTTTTTTCAGAATGGGATAAAGCAATTGCTGCATAATATAGCTTCATGAAATCATACAGTGCTATCATGGAAATACAGACAAGAGAGTACGAGTAAGCTGCTCATACTGATTTATTCAGGCATATGCAATTCCAATTTGTAGCTTAAAAATATGACTTTTCAATTCCACTTTCAATCACATAATGGATTTTCACAGATTCTTGGAAATTAACCAAAGACAAAGTTTCTGCCTACATCGATACATTCCTCTGGAACACCACAAGCCTGACACACTGCTTTGAGGACAGATTTCTGCGTGATGCAGACATTAACACAGAAAGCTGACAACTAGGGTAGTATCACCAGTACTTTGACAAACAGAAATTAGCAATTTAAATGTCATCAGTTGCCAGATTTCTAAGCTGTAATCAGTTTATAAAGCTAGGCCAACCAACTGTAGGAACATTAGCAGATAACTGTGTAACAGAGAAGCAATGACACCTGATGCGATACCGTTTCTTCCCACACTAAAACCAGCCCACACCAATGCACACTCTGTGTTTCTCTTTGGCCTGTTAGGGTTCTAACAATTCACTGGGGAAATACCTGTATATAGAAACCGGTAATACCAAAATACTGTGGAAGATCACAGTTAATATGCTCTACTCTTTATACACGTTCCACAAACTGTTAATGTTTACAACTAACTACACCCCCATCCACTTCTATTAGAGATGCAGTAGCGAACAACAGAAGATAAAGACGACAAATTAAGAAGAAATTGGGCTTGATAAAACACTCGCATAAGACCTCCTTTACGTCTACATGCAAGAAATAAATCATCCTATTGGAATAAAAGACTGAACTTGTCATTTTTTGATAAAAAGGTCTAACAGGTCTTCAACATACACTGTCTCCAGCAGGAAGCCAAGGTACACATAACCTACGCACCAAGGGAACCCATGAACCGGGAACTCTCTTGACTTTGAGACTTCCAGATACAGAACATTTAAGCGATCTGAATCTAGAAAGTCAGTTTATCCAAAGACACTAACCGCTTTTAGCCAATGAATAATATTTCTTGGAATCAAGAGGCAGATTTACCCTCTTAAAAAGCTTAGAATAATAAGCATGGGCATTCCTTCTCTATGCTGCCAAGGACATCTTGTTAAACAGCAGCAATAGTGACATCGTATACAGGTGAGATACTAACCAGCACTTCTGTTTTATTATCTGTACCTGTTTAATAATGTTGAGGTGCTGCTTTTCTGTTTCTGTTCGTTTTTTCAATTCATCTTTTAAGTTGTCCTTTTCTGAGCAAATTTCCAAAATCAGTTCCTGATGTTTTTTATTTTCTTTAATCAACCTGTAAAGAAAAAAAATTAAGTGCAAGATACTTCAGTACTGGTTTTTTTTGTTTGTTTGTTTTTAATTTTGAGATATATGTTTTTTCCTCTTTGCTCTGCAAATTTTATTGGGAGTTACAGCCAGAAACACTAATGAAATGCATGAATGCCTTACAAAAACAAAACAGAAGTATGTTGTGCATGTGAAACAACTCCAAACCAGCAAGCATCATCTTCCTTGTGAGCAAATTGCTTGTTTCCAGTGTTTTGAGGTTGTTATTGTCCATGATGAAGTGAGACATTTGGTACCTCTGTGCCACTACAGAACCGTAAATGTTAACAATTTTAAGAAACTTGTAAGACAAGTAACTTCCAGTCAGATAGCTCCACCAGTCAAACGTCTGAAAACACAGGTACCGTACTCATTTCATGGATTGCTCAGGTTGGACCTTGAAGTTCACCACCTGGCAGGAAATGAAACCCTCATTTTCTAAGTCCTAAGTAGGTCTGTAACTACAACAGCACCCATGCTTGCACGCCTTACAAAGTTCAAATTTTTAGCAATAGTTTGTTCCTTTGTGGCCCAGCTGTTTGAAAACTGAGTTAAAGGTGACATGTATTTAGTCTGACCTTCTACCACTGCAATAGAAGATAGTTATACACAAAACTCAGAAGTTACGTTGTCAGAACTGCTGAATAAACAGAGTCTCAAATGTTTAAAGATAGTTAGGTGGTGGATATTTTAGGCCACTAATTGCATGAATTTGTGGGAGGCATGCACTTACCTGAACAAGACATTTAAATAACCCTTTACATACATACTTTCACCTTGAGCTCCCCTCCTTTTAAAACAAAAAAAATCTCTAAACAAACTAAGCTTCCAAATTACAAGGAATTAAAAACCATCAGTGAAAGAGTTTAGCACTTCCGAACTGTTTTTTAATCTATTAATGAATATTCCAGGATTACAAATTCTTAATTCACACAATTGCTGCTCACTGATATATCTTAGAACTGATCACAGGAGACAAGTGGGCTATTTCCAGAGCAACGTTACAAGAAATTCTGCTGATCATAAACCAGGGACAAAATCAACCCAATCCAGAACGCCCTTTGGACCAAACATTAAGATGTTCCACAGCAGTTTTACACTCTTGAGGTCAGTCCCCAAGAGTCAAAGGGGTGCAACTGGGATAGCAGCTGGCAAAAAAAAAAAAAAAAAAAAAAAAAAAAAAAAAAAAAAAGAGACTGAAGACATGTTTATAGAAAAAACTTTCTGTGTGTATACATAATACACACATATATTCACGCAAACATTTGTCCCTAAGTAATTGGTCCATGGCTGAAAACACTGACCTGCCTTTGAGTTTACCGTAAACAAGTAAACCCCAAATAACTTGTTCACTTATGATCTCCTGGAATTACCACCACCTACACACCCTCCACTTCAGATTCCCACTCCTCCTCCTCCATAATCACTGAATGTCTAACTACGCATTCCCAAGCTTTCCAGTCATCAACTGACTTTCCTCACATTTATGATTTCTGTCAGAGGTTAACTGGTGAGGTGCAAGAGAATACCTTCCCTACTCTACTTTTTGGGCACCTCTTTTCCCTCTGCCTGGTTTCCCTCCCTTTGATGTCCTCATACCATGGTATCACAGTGCCTTACATGAAGAGTAGGGCACTCATTTCCAGCTCTGCAAGCAGGAATAAATTTGAAGTTAGAGGCTACATTTTGTTAGCAAAAAACATTTCTAAAGTGGTAACAGAATACAACACATGAAGTGGGGAATCAAGAAATCAAGCAATGAACTGGCTTTTCATGAATATAATATTCTTCGTGTAGTGTACTGCCTGATAGAACTATTAAGCCTAGTTTATTACAGTAAAGTTTATAAGCCATGCATTTCAAAAGCCCTCCTATAAAATGTGGTAAGACAGTAGTTTATCTATATATGACATTTCCAACTCAAAAAATAGCTCTCAACTGATTAGCAACTTCACTGAATTATGACAGGAGACTGAATACTACTTGAAAAAGAAATAAGCAATTTCAAACTCATAAATGAAATGCACATAGTGGGAGTTAGTAATTACAAAGGTTCATTTCTCCAAAGACACAGATGGACTGAATGAATCCTAGACTATTTTTATACCACGATTACTTTTACAGTATTTAAGTAATTCTAGACATTGGCAGGCTATTCAACTGAACAGTTGGCTATTCAGTTCCTGCCAAATTCCAGAAGAATTCAGAGATCTAAGCACACATTTTTATTTATAGGTACATACCACAAGTAAAAATAACTACTTACTTAAAGAACATAATTTAAAAAGCTCATTAATTGTCCTTACAACAACTCACAAGAAACTAGTTTCATACCAAAGTGTTGTATGCAGTTGCACACAACACACAAGCAAAATTGTTCAGTACACACCTCCATTTGTAATGAACATACTCAAATACTCACTTTTTTATAGTTTGTTCTTGCTCCAGGTACTTATCTTGCACACATTTTTCAAACGCGGCCAAGGCATGTTCACCCTTCCGCACACCATTTGGGAATTTCTGTTGCTTTGAAAAATCTGTAGATAAGAGTTCAGACTCTATTTCCTTTAGCAAATCCTCCTGTGAGGAAGTCTGATGTATTGTGGAAATAAGCTTCTTTGTGCAGTCTGTGTCATAAGGGCTTTCTGAATAGATTTTATCACTAGATTTTTTCACGAAGTCAGACTCCTCCCTTAGCTCCTGTAATATTTCCATTAATGATTGTTCTGTCTGATTAGGTTTTGGATCTTGTTGTTCAAATTCTTCATTAGATATATATTCTCTTTTTGTGGAGCCTTCTACCTTTCCTTCAGAGCAGGTATGGGCACAGCAGTCCGCCCCTCCACGCTGCTGCTCCTGTCTTTCCGCCAGGGCCCCGTCGTTGCTTATGCCAATAACTGCTGAATCCTGGTCCGAGGGCAACAACCTCGATTCCCTTTCCAAGACACCATCATCATCTCCAGTATAACTGATGCTTGAGCAGTCCTTCATTCCAGGTGTTTTATCAGACTTCTCGTTATCTGGGGATCTGGAAGAGGCATCATCCAACAGACTGACTGGCTCCAGCGTGCTTTGCATTTCTGGTAAATATCCCTCCATCATTTTCCTTTGGAAATCTAGAAGTAGAATTCACATTACACAGCATATTATATTCAAAATCAAAATTAAAAGAGATTGAGAGAGGGGAAAGAAAGGCTACTGGAAAGTAAAATTCAAGGGGTAAAAATATTCAGATACATAAGCGTTACGCAGTTTATTGATTTTCCAGCCTAATTTTTAAGTAAATGCTCCAGTACAAGTTTTTCTAAAAGACGGCGAGAAATCAAGGATAACAAACAGGAAGTAGTGGGACGTAAATGCCAAGACAATAAAAAAAAAAAAGCAGAGCTTTTTAGAATTAATAATTCTATAATTTAGATCCACAAAAAGTCCAAGTCATCACCTCTGAAAAACACTCAGACATAAAAGAATAATAAAAAAAAAAATCTAGAGCCTTACAGCTTTCATTTTCCTATACACTATTTGAAAGCAGTAATATGCCTTGACCTACTCATTTTTACAATATAGGGCAACTCCCTCATCCAGCCAGAATATACAACTTCCTTACTGTCACATCATCACCACCCATACAGCAAAATGTATCTGTACCCAGCAACCTAGGGGCTGGGGGAGGATGGAGGTGAGATTCTCTTTTCCCATCTGCTTTCAAGCAGCCAAAATCCCTTGCTGGAAGAGCACAGATGGCCTGCGGCAGATTTGCTCTCTCAAAAAGTAGATTGCAGAGCAAACGTTTGAGGAGTTGAAAACCTATGCAGAAAGTGTTTTTCCAGAAGGACACCATATTGAGATTCAAATAGCCAGAACACTTATGGAAGAGCATGGGTATAATGCTCTATCTTCTTTCTCAGGAATCCCAGCTGGTCAGGTGTCTGGAAAGACTGCTGGCATTTTTAGCAAGCACAAGAAGCCCTAATGCTATCATTTCCATTAGGAGAAATTCATTACAGCAGTCATAACTTCTAGATGCAACTCTATCCCCCGATACTGGATAAATTAGACTATTTAATAACAAGGAAAATTTTTCATTTATAAATTCCACTCTGCTATTCCAACAATTATCTCAAAGGAAGTTGCCATCTTGCAACACCAAGCTTGTTTTTGTACTTGCTTTCTCATTTGTTTAGCTTTCTCTTGCACCGCCACGCAGTCCGAGTTACTCAGCTGCATGCTCCAGGCCCCACGCTTGGACTCAGCCTGAAAGGAAACCCTTCATGCTGCTGGGCTCCACTCCTCCAGAGCCCTGCCTTATTAACCAACACTTAGTACTGAGGCTTACATTGTTAGAATAGAGGGATACGTGAATCCCATTAGGGCTGTGACTAATTGCTACCACTATCACCTTTCACTATTAGGTATAAAAATCAGATAAGGAAAAAAAAGCAGCAGCCTCAGCCCAGCTGTTTCTACCAGGAAATCTCATCAAACAAAAAAACTACCACTAGTATCTGAAACCAACAGTTGGGCTACAACTGCCAGTTAATCAATAAGAGGAAAGCATAAGGAAAACCGAGCATAAGGCTGAAAGCATGAAAGGGAACATGTCACAACTGGACAACAGTCACAAATCATCAAATGACAATTATATATTCTTAAGTAACAAGCAAACCACTTTTCCTTTTTGGTTTCAAAGCAAAAAACCTCAATGTTACAGTCCCCCCCAAACCAGTGCAAATCAATAGGAACCAGAAAGCAAATGGTAAGGAAAGCTACAAATGAGCATAGAGATGGTGAATGCGAGAGTTTATATACAATGTGAAACTTTTACAAGGGCTCCCCATTTTACAAACAGATCTCTTCCGACATTAATAAACTCTCCGATTCCCCTTTACATCAAAGGATTTATGCTTAGATCAACACTGGAGCCAACAAATCTATCCACTTGGTTTGTGCAGCCAAAACAATTGCTCTTTTGGTACCTATCTACTTTTTGATAACTTCTGCTAGTGAAGAAAGTTCACAATGTACTACTGTCATTCTAAACTTAAACAAACAAAAGAAACAGCCCCCACTGACGATCTCAATCTGCAAGCAAGGAGAAGGAACATAACAGCAAGAAAATGCATTCAGTTCGATAGTAGCAGAACACATTAGTTCCTACTTAATTAAAAAGCTGTTAAACACACAATGTTTTGAGACTGGTGCATTTAACACAGGCAATAACCATAAGATAATTTGCAAATGATGCAGTTAAGAGGGAAGAGAAGTTCACCTTCTAGTGCCTGTTCCCTCTTGTCACAGGTAGCTTATAATCCACACACTCAACTGTATAAAGAGACTGTATTAGTAAAAAGCTGAGGTACATTTTTTTTCTATAGTGGTTACTCCAGTCTACGTTCCTGCT